TGCACAGCTATAAAATTTTTGTTTACTGATAGGAGATATGGATGTGACCTCTCCATCTCTTTAGTTGTTGGGTTCTACATAGATCAACACTTGAGCACACCAAGTACAGGATGACGTTATGCAGAGACCTTATTTTCATCTTTTAAGTACCCAGAAAATGAGCCTACAACTTTCTATTTTATTAGGGGCCAAAGCACCAAGCTTCCAGCTTTCAGAAAACTTTAAAGTACTCACTAATTTCATGTGAAGATCAAGTTTTACATGCAGAGGGATAACTGGTGATCTATTATAATTGAGAGAGCACAAGACAAACGTCCCCATCCCAAAACAGTGTGTGTGTGTATACATACACACACACACACACACATACACACACACACACATATATACATATATACACACACACATATATACATATATATATACACACACACACATATATACATATATATAAAAACACACACATATATATACACACACACACATATATACATGTATATACACACACACACACATATATATACACACACACTTGAAGTGTTTATATGTAAATAACTGTAAAATATTCATATATTTTTAAATTATATTAATCATGTTATTTTACAATTACTTAAAATAAAGAATATCATATAAGGGTTGTAGCACTACTGGGAGCAATGGGAAAGATCCAAAGGTAAAGTTTAAATTTCTGTTGTCTCCAGGGTCAACTCTGTTTATGCTCTGAGTCTGTAAGCCCACTGAATTTAATTAAATTGAGCATACATATTGTCCAAACTGTATGCTTTGTTCTTGCCACCTTTAAGCAGAATGTACTTATGTAATAACTATGACATATATTTTAAACAGTAATTTTATAATCTTCATAATCTCATCTCCCTATTGAAAAACTAAAAAAAAAAAAAAACAGTTTGTGATTTGCTACTTTAAAACTAAAAGGCTCACTTGGTTTTTTGTTTTGTTCTGGGGTAAAACCTGTGGGTGCTCTTCTACCACTGAGCTGTATCTCCAGCCCTTTTTGTTTTTTGTTTTGAGACAGAGTCTAAGTTGCCCAGGATGGCCTCAAATTTACAATCATCTTGCTTCCAGCCTCCTGAGTCACTGGGATACAGGCATGTGCTCTCATACCCAGCCTTCATTTCCCTTCTTCGTGTGAAAATATTCATCCTTAAGTGCCCAATTAAATGTCACCGATCTCTTTATGAAATACTCTGAAGTATTTCATGCTGTCCCCAAACAAACTGTGTACRTTTCTTTACTCTGCCCCCATAAGACTTTGGTTTTACTCTTATTATGGCCTTCATTGAGTTCTGATGAAATTTATCATTTGCATAGATCTGATCCTTATTACACTATGGGCTCCTACACTATTCAACTTTGTATCTTCAATACCTAGCAGAACTTGGCACACAGCAGGTGTTCTGTCTTACCTTTATAGGGATATTTAGCTAGCCCCTAAAAAGAGTAATCTCTGCAAACCCATGGGGATATTGGAGTGCAAGACAGCCATCTGTAATGTAATGAGAATTCAAAGGCCTAAGATTTATTGCTGCTCTAGGGCATTTTAAAGTCAGTTGTATCACCACATGAGAAAGTTGACAATATTTTTAGTTTAGAAAACAAGGCTTCACATAGCTGAGCTCTTCTGTATCTTCATCTCCTGTTTAACTCTTTCCTTTACCCTAATCATACACAAACCTGTTCTATATTTTTCTTTCTTTCTAAAACAGTATTCTTCAAACTTTAAGGTAATAAGAACCCAAAGAAATTGTTAAAAATCTGTATTCCTGGATCTTAACCTTAGAGAATGATTGTATATTTATGGGTAGAAGCTAGAAATCAGCATTTCTAAGAAACAAACTGGGCAGTTCTGATGCAGGTTTTCCACACTCTCAGGGAAAAAAAATCAATAACACTTGATTAATAAGATGCTAATTTTATACCAACTTCAAGACACCAGGAGTATATCTAAAGAGAAGAAAGCAAAAACCAAGTGATGATCTTACAAATAGCACAGGACGGCTTTAACATGAGAAAGACACTAACTCAGAGATTACAAGGTTAGCACACATCACTCAGCCAGAGAGAGAGGTCCAAATCTAAGTGGTCTCTGAGGATGAAGGGATCAACAAAGGGTCTGATAAGCACAAGTTTAGGGTGASCCCTGCTGGGAGAGCTCCACCTTCTAGAAGGGTTTTAATAATCCATCAGAATTAGGGTAAGAAGCAAAATTCCATGAGGGAATACTTACTGGAGATTATTAAAATAGGCAGGTACTTCTGTGATTCCAGATCTATAAAGAATTGGTGATTATAAATAAATCATGGTTGATACTTCATCTTTGTATCCAGACAGAATGTAATATAATTTATGTAGCCTGTGACAGAACATAGAGGACAAGGACAAACAAGTTTCTATGATCTAATGAGGGTAAGGTATCCATCTTCTGAGAGTGGAGAGGGCATATTAGGTCATAACCTCTACCTGTCATTGCTCTGGAAGAAAATCTGGAAAATGTTTTCTCTTTTTCAAGATCAAATCTTCAAACTACTCAATTAATTACTCTGTGAAAAACTCCTATCATCAACTGACAAATGAAGTAAGGTAACAAATAGAATCTGATATTAAATTTGTTTTATTGTTGCTCTGAGGCAACTGCACAGTTAGTTGTATTACTCACATAAGATAACTCTCATATAAGACAATAGTTTTAGGTTAAAAGTGCAGGCGCTGAAATCAGAATAAAATTGTAATCAATAATTCCACTACTTACTAATATGAGTACTTTCTCCTTGTCTGTAGAATGGAGAAAATAATAATGCGTGCCTTGTGTAGTTGCTAAGTGATTTAACCAAGAAAGAATACAATATCCAAATCAGTATCCACAACCTGCTCCCCAGTAGTTTCAAGGTTCATAGTTATACATACTATGATTGTAAGTTTGTGCTGTAGTCAGAAACCAGAGTCAGAAATTTGGTTCTACCTGAGTTTGTTTTGTGTGTGTGTGTGTGTGTGTGTGTGTGTGTGTGTGTGTGTTTTACTTAAAACTGCTATATTCCATCTTGTTCAGTTGTAAACAATAATAGTAGCTACCTAATTGTGTAAGTCATGTCGAATGAATAAAAACGTGTGTGTGTCCCCATTAGTTCTAATTCCCTTCACTGATCCTCATCTTGTCAAGAAGTATTTTTAATGCAAAATGCATATAAACAGGAATGCATTTCCAACAAGAATACAAACAGCGTATAATTGTGGGACGTTTGGTAAATTGTCCTACTTATTAAGTAACCTGATCAACAAGATTATTTTGAGGTTCAAAATGACAAAATTTAAACATGTATGTACAGGGATGATATTGCTATTATCTAGATTTATATGAGATACAGCTAGTCAATTGAGGAAGGTCTTTGGGAACTTGTGATTATTCGGGTTAAACTCTTAAAGGATTTCTGGATTTCAGACTCTAGTGTATATATCTTATAATAACCAGAAAATGATACTGACAGCTAGACTTTATAAGTTACTTTTAATAATATTTATCCCATACTTTGGAAATAGCCACAGTAGCACTGTTACCGTACAATAGAGCTCAAGCAAACTTCTTGGAGTGTCATTAAGGTATTTCTTTGATTTTAGACATACAGACTCCAGCAAAATGAAGKTTTATTATTAGCTAGCTACTTAAGACCCAGGACTTATTTCTGCCAAAACTGATACTGAGAGAACTTGCCCTGAGTCCTCTCTCTTCATCATTGAAGAAGGATTCCTGACCTCAGTCAATATTCTCTGTTAAAGTGATTTTAGGCACAATGAGAAAATGTGTGGTTCTCATCTTTAACATTAGTATTCTGTACTAATAGATGATACTGGATTAAATTTTGTCACAACTCTCAATACTTCATTCCTTGTCAAATAGTAATTTGATGATGACTTTCATTTTTTTCTCCTAGAGTATTTGATAATATTTTCCCTAATTGATAGGCAAGAATTATACAATTCTGAGTATTTAGTGCAAGATGTAAGAAAAGGATCTTGGAACCAAGATGTCTTGTGAAACCCAATCCTTCAAAATATGTAGATAAATTTCACAAGACTCCCAAAACTCCAAGGACAAAATAAATTTATCTCCAAAGTAAGGAAGAAAGTTGAGGAGGCAAGTTGATACATCCTATCTTTTTTGGTAACATTCCTGCTTTCTCTCTGTTTTATGCTACTTGAATGTTAGAAGAGTTGCATTTGAGATTAGTACATTTTACACCAGAAGGAGAGATTTCTTATAACCTACAAAAGTCTGGGAGTGGAGAAAAATAACACTTATTAATGGAATTAGAGCTTTGTACTGTCCAAATCTATATAGTTTCCCAGTTGATTAATGAAGATAAAATCTCCAAGGACACAAAAGCCCAAATTTTTAAAATGTTATTTTATGATATGCCAAGACATATTAATGCCATAAATACTGAAACAGTTCTTGGTATAAGCAAAACTTTTCTCATGGTACATTTCCTCTGCAACTTCTTCCCTGATCCCTCTATTCCAGCAGATTCCTCCAAGGACATACTATCTAGGAATGTGGTTCTCTGCTTAAGTCAAACAATGGAAATAGCAAGTGTGTTAGACTCACAGAGGCTGCCTAGGAAACTGCCTTTACCGCTGTTCCCTTTTTGCTCATTGAAGAGTCACTTAAATTTCCTTAGTCATCCTTTTCTTACTTGAGAATAATAAAACCTAATGTTAAGGGTAGCTAAGAGGGGATACTGCACATAAATTTCCAAATACAAAACTGGTGTTCAGTACCATCCAGGTTATCTATTACTAACTACCTGCTATCATAATTGGTTTGTTTTTGTAAACCACTTAGACAGAAATATGAATCAACACATTACCAGAATATAAGACAGAATTAAAGATTCCGTATAATTTTATTGGTTGATAAAATGATGATTGGTAGCGATAAACCATTTTATAAAGTTGTGTTTCATTTCTCTAGCAGGTGACTGGAGATGAGCTCTGAAAACTGGACTCAGATAACAGGATTTGTCCTACTGGGCTTTCCCAGTAACCACATCCTGCAGATGCTTCTGTTTCTGGGGTTGATGGTGACATACATTGTAACAGTCACAGGCAACCTGCTAATCATAGTGCTCAGCTGGATGGACCACCGCCTGCACACACAGATGTACTTCTTCCTGAGGAACCTATCCTTCCTGGAGCTGCTGCTGGTATCTGTTGTGGTTCCCAAGATGCTTGACATCATCCTCACAGGGGATCACACCATCTCATTTGCCAGCTGCATGATCCAGTCCTATCTCTACTTCCTCCTAGGCACTACCGACTTCTTCCTCTTAGCAGTCATGTCTCTGGATCGCTACTTGGCGATCTGCCGACCTCTCCACYATGAGACTCTGATGAGTGGTTATGTCTGTTCCCAGTTGGTGCTGGCTTCCTGGTTAGCTGGGTTCCTCTGGGTACTTTGCCCCACCATCCTCATGGTCAGCCTCCCTTTCTGTGGCCCCAACAGGATTGACCACTTTTTCTGTGACAGTTGGCCCTTGCTGAGGCTCTCTTGTGGGGACACCTCCCTGCTGGAGCTGGTGGCTTTCCTGCTCTCTTCATTGGTGTTACTGGGCTCTCTGACCTTGACCTCAGTTTCTATGCCTTTATCCTTGCCACTGTCCTCAGGGCCCCCACAGCTGCCGAGAAAAGAAAAGCCTTCTCCACCTGTGCCTCACACCTTACCATGGTGGTTATCTTCTATGGCAGTTCCATCTTTCTCTACATCCGTTTGTCAGAGGCTCAGTCCATGCTGCTCAACAAAGGTGTCTCTGTCCTGAATTGTATCATCACACCTCTCCTGAACCCATTTATCTTCAGCCTCCGCAATGACAAGGTGAAGCAGGTGCTGAGAGATGCCCTGAGGTGGCACTGGTCCACTGTTTCCAGGAAACTATGTGGGTCACAAGTAAAAGGAAATATCCCTATTAAATTGGGAAATTAAATATATATGGGAAATATTTTTAATGTGCAGAATTTTTTTTTAAAGACTCCGGCAATGCCCTACAACTTTCTCAGCTAGTCTGAATGAATATGCAATAAGAAATATCAGAGTTAACTCTCATCATTCTGCCTGTAGTTCTWTTAATGTCTCCACACCCCCACAGAGAGAAGCCAAACCCAATTGGCCAAAATTTTAGAATTCTGATTAGGACGCATTCCTTCTGAGGTGGAATATTTGAATTGGAGAGCATGCAGCAGTGGGTGGCCTCAATGCAGAGAGGCAGATCCTTTTCCACGTCTATGCTGAAGGGCCCCATCACTGCTTCAGTCCCACAAACCACACTGTCCACCAGGGCAGGCTAAACATGGAAATTRCAACTTAGAGTTTAGAGGTAAGAGGCCTGGTGAGGACTCCTTCTCCTAGAACAGGGGCTACAAACAAAACCACCAGAACCTCTGATTTGAGAAAGCCAGTTCTGGCTGCAGTGATAAGTGGTTCTTTAATTTTGGTAGAAATAAGCCAGATGAAGAAAGAAGCCACCAGTGTTTCCTGCAGCACAAGCTGTAGGTACAAAGACTCAGAGGGCCTCAAGCATATTTAGGAAACTCAAAGTACAGTAGGATCACATATGAGGCAAAGTGAAGGAAAACACAGGGACGGAAAGGTGAGCAGGACCTCGTCAATGCAGCTCTGTTAATATTAAGAAGCTCCAATGAGTAAGAATGGTACAGCCATTTGCTGGCCCTGTGCATCTCCAGAACCCTAAATTAGATMAGAGAAATTGTTTGGGGCTCTAGTAATCTATGATTTTGTATGCTCTGAAAGAATTATAGATTGTATCTAGGTCTCTTAAAACACGCTTCGCTAATAGATCATAGTAACAAGCATAACACTAGCATTATACTTAAGAATACCATTTTCTTTCTTGTTTTTTCCTTGTCTTCCTCATGTGTAAAATAAAGGAGCTGAATAACATAACTTTTAATATTTGGGGGGATCACATATCTTTTTTAAATATCTTTATTTTATTTATTTTTATGTGGTGCTAAGGATCGAACCCAGCGCCTCGCACCTGCTGGGCAAACGCTCTACCACTGAGCCACAACTCCAGCCCCTCACATATCTTTTTTGAGAATTTCATGAAATTTATAACCTTTTTCCTCCCCAAAATATTATATAGAGACCTAAAACTTAGCAAAGGATTTCAAGTTGTTTATGGAACACTTAAACTCATTTATGGAACCCTAAGTTAGATAAGAGAAATCATGTTTGGCTCTGGAAATCTGTAATTCTATATGATTTTTAAAAGAGTGCAGATTATATCTAGGTCTGTTCAAACACACTTCACTTTTAGATTCTGATAGTAAGTGCCATCATTAGTATTATATTAGTGGTAATATGGATGGATGAATAGAAGATAGGTAGGAGATAGGTAGGTAGATAGATAGATAGTATATAAAAATATATCTGGATAGGGAGAGAGAAAGATGTAGACTCTGACACTATACATACTAAGTATGAGAAACTGAGGCTAAGTTAATATACTTTATTGTATATTGCAGGAAAAACTATAAATTCACCACAYCTAAAGCAAGTTAATTGAAGAACTATAACACTCTGAACATAGTTAGCTTTTAAGTTGCATGTGCCAAGGACATGAACAAATAGCCTGTTCCAGATTCATCTACAGTCCTAAATTCCAATCATTATCAGTGCCCATTGGGCCACCTGAGCCATATTGATCTATTTTAGGAGGACTCTAGGCAATTATTTTTATAGGAACAATAATAGGAAGGTAACAGCCTTTTGGACATTGATCTGCCATTTTTGGTGTACAAAATAAATCAAGTAATCTTGGAAAATCAGACTTCATTTTCAGAATAAAGAAAGGATAAACAAACTACTCTGTGTCAAGCAGCTTTAAAATCCTATCATTTCTGTAATGGTTGTGGTTGGTTCAATAAGAAATATATTTTTTAAAAAAAATCTTATCATTTCAATGATTATAACTCTATTTAGATTTTTCAGCATCCTAAGTTTCATTGCAAACTGAAAAAAGTTAAATAAACTTTTAGTTCAAACAGGCACAAACACTGAAGAAAAGTCATTTTGTTCAATTTCTAATAATCTCTGTGCTTTTGTATAAATTCTCCTATTCTGTTTAGACACATTGATTGTAGAGTCTATAAGAACTATTTGATAGTCCAAAAGGAAAATACTTTGTGCATAATAAATCGAAGCATTTAAATTGCCTCTTTAAATCAAGTATCCATGAAGCTTTATACTCCAAAAATTTTACCATAAGGTACATAAAGAGAGAACAGGACCAAAGAAGACATCAATAATTTTTGAGACTTGCAATTTATATCAAGAAAATAGTCATGAAATTTGTTTGTTGGCTAAGAAAGACAGGATGTTCTTCTTCCTTTTACTGTCACTTTAACACACAAGTGTCAAGGCCTGAAGAACTTACTAGAACATATATTTTTACCTAAAGAAGATCCTGGTAAAACAAGAAGAGAAAGGATAATGATAAAAAGAAATAAAGGAATAAAGGGACAGGGGAGTGGATGATCAGAGATCTTCTTGGTGCTCTTTACTGCCTCTGGGGTGGCACTGAGGAGAATGCCAAGGTCAGGAGACCTTCTCTTGCACCACAGAAAGACATCTTGAATGAACTCACCCCACAGGCTGTCCACCAAATGAGCTGATGTGTGGCATAATTAAAGTCATCTAAGAGAAACAGGATGGTGAGGAAAAGGAAGGGCCACTCTGGGTCTCTGTGAGACACAGATAGAATACATGACTGACTGTACCCGCCCCCAGGCAGTGTACAGATGTAGTCTGAACCACATCAGTAGGGTTATCATGGGGGTCACAGTGATGGGGGGTAAGATAATTGCACCCTATAGAACAAAAACCGTGACCAGGAAATGATGGAGAAAGTCAAGGGACTCATCGTTGGTCTTAACCCAAAGCAAAGCATAGATGAGACTGTTGGAACTGGAGCATCACCAGGCCCTGACCAAACAGAGAAACCCAACTTCAAGCCTTGTCAGGGAGCATCCAGGGCCAACACAGAGATAGAACTATTCTCAGGTCCAKCTGTGAATCCAAAAGGCAGCTCAGGCCAGAAGGCAGATGGCAGAATCCAAAAGCCTGATGTATTTTGTAAAGAAAATGATCATCTACTTAAAAGAACTGTGTGATTTTATATACAGAAGTAAGTGTACTAGATGTGCCTAATTTTCCTCAATTGCCCAGCCAAGTAATCCTTGTAAAGAAAATAATATCAGTTATTAAAAATAAAGAAACTACATTTTACTTGCACACATGATTTTGTCTAAGTAAATATGTGGCTCTACTTCAAGTTCATGCCATGAGAAAACAACTCTGACTTAGGTATTGTAACTCCAAAATTCCCTTTCCACTAATGTGCACTCTCTTTAACAGATGAAGTGTTTACTCTGTCATGTCCTTTCCTTTAATATCCCAACTCCCTTTTCTCTAATCCTAGGCCTTTTCTATTTGGACACTGACCCATGCTCTAGTYCTTGTATTTAAACATTTCTTCTCAGTTGGCTGTATTGTGGGAAGCAACTTTGCTTATAGTGACTTATTAATAAAAACATAAGTGAAGAACAATGACATAATGCAAAGATGACAGATTCCATGAAGGGTAACACTGATTGATTATAATCAGTCAAAAAGTTAAATTTGCAAAACCTTGCTTGTTTTATTTTTACAAATATTCTTATGTATGCATGTGGRGATAAAAAGGTACAACCCTCACAATTCCRGTGAGATTTGATTGACAAACTTTGTCATAGCATATAAAGCAATCTGAATCAAGGTGAGAATAAGATATTAGAAAAGAATATAGAGATGATGAAAGAAGTCTATAATCATTTTTCTATCACTTCTTAAGCTGAAGTAGAGACTACTTTCTATTTAAGAACCAGAGGATGAAATACTGTCAAAGCAGTCATCTGTGGTTCTGCAAAGCTTAAAAGGTAGCTGAATGTAAGAATGAGTTTTTGAGCAAAGGTATAGAAAAAACTACTCACCTATACAAGTCTTCTGGATGTTTGTCCCCTCAAGAAAATTCCCCCTTAATTCTCTAAAAGAAAGAGATCTTTCTCCAATTCCACATTCTTCATGTGTCCATTTCTCCATGAATTATCTGCCCATATTCCAATTTCCAATCTGCCTGACTCTCACAACCACACTTGACCTAGTCCAATTTAAAATTCCAATTCTACCCATGATGTGAGTCTAATCAACAAAAATTCACAAAGAGATACTGACTTTTAGGAGCATGAAGAAGATTAGATATTATCTAGAATTTGGGCTTCAAAGTTATGTAGACATACGTACATTGGATTCCAGAAATGAGCTCCGTGGCCTTCAATAAGTTATTTAAGTGTCTCTAACCCACAATTGACTCATCTTTTAAAATGAGTTAAAATAAATAATAAATATAAATCACTTGATATAATGCCTGACATAATAAGCTCTTACCAAATGCTGTTTAGATGAAGAAGATGAAGAGGAAGACTGTGACAATAATTGCAATAATGATAGCAACAATGACCTTGAGAAACTATGAGGAAAAAATTAATTTGATGGACATAATTTTCTTCTTCTTCATTGACAGACATTTAGTCAGTCTCTTGAAATCAGGATCCCACTTTTATTTTAACCTTCATATCCCATCCTATCTCCAGAAAGATGACAAGTGTTTTGAGCTCTTCAAATATGTTTTGTGTCTAAGAAGTGATAGCAAGAAAGACCCCAGGTTTACCACCTCCATGCATACTGCAGCTGGAAATTTCTTGGCAAGGCCAACATGCTCATCTCGGAAGATGCTCTCTGAACCATATGGTACTTCTGTATGGAACTTGGAGACTTTTTCTTTAGACGGCATCCCATGTTCTAGATTGGCTAAAAGTTATGTCGCCAGAAATTTTGATTCTAAACAATGGRCAAGCAATAGGGAA